TTTTTTATATATATAGTATATATATATATATATATATATATATATATATATATATATATATATATATACAGGGTCCCGAAATTCGCGAATCAAAATATTATAGCAAGAAAGTTCTCGAAAAAATAAATTATTAATGTATGTTCCATTTTTCCGAACAGCAATTTTTTTAGATATACTTTTTAGATATAAGTACTTAAAACTAGCAATTATTGCAGTTAAACGGGAACTTGTCCATGAATTACGCGTCGTATGTATCTTTATTCTTTATGTAGTACATAGATATTTATAATTGATTTTTATATTTAAGATTATCTTAAATACTTATTTAAGATCACATAAATCAATCGATCATATTCGTGAATCATATTAGCATCTTAAAATATTATTTAAAGAAATTTTAAAATAAGAAGAAATTATGAAGACTATAGAAAATAATAAAGAATCTGAAATGTTTATATAACATTTAGAATAAATTTCTCTTTTAACAAACGTGCTATCATAAATACATATTATTTTTTGTATAATTCTTTAAAAAATATATTAAATTTCGAGTTTATTTTACAATTAAAGAAATAATTTTTTTATTTCATATTCTTCTGTCTATTTTAAAATTTTCAAAATTTTGAATATTATTAGAGCTAATCTTATTCGTTAATGTTAGTAAAAACAATTTGTTAGAGCCCGCAAAATTACTTTTTTAAATTTTAAAATAAAATATTTTTTCTAGAAATTATTTTGAACTTGTCTTGCATGAGCAAAACTTACTATTTTGCATTCATTGTCTTTTGCGACCTTCATTTCGTAACTGTTTTTTCTTTGTAACGAGTGACAATCAATTTTTATCAGACCACTTAAAAAGGAGGGAACTGAAGTTTTAGTAGGGAAGAATCGGTCATCTTGTTCAACGACATTAGTAGTTTTAATTTCTCTTTTTTTAGTTTTTGCATACATAGTTCAAAAAGCATCTCTTGTTTAACAAATTAAATCATACACAAATAATTCGAGTTCCTCGTATAAGCCGATAAAGAGATTACAATTATTATCAATTCCGCTTTCCATAATAAATTTATAATATACGACATCAGTAGCAAAGAGATTATTTTAATATTTTTCATCCTTTTCTTGTTTTTCTTCTTGAAATAAGGAAAATAGACAGATATGCAAATGACATTAAATATTCAAAAATTTATTTCAAGTTCCTCTAAATATTAAAATTTATTGTAAGTTAAGAGTAATATTTTAAACTATTAATATTTTTATGTTAATGCAATAAAGTTTATATAGTATCTTTATAAATGTTTATTTCCATTTTTATCTAAAAATATTTTATATGATTTGTATTTATATATAATATAATAAACAAATATAATAAAAAAACCATTTTAATAATCTTGATTTTAAAATAATTGAATAATTCTGAAAAGCACAAGCACGGAATAAAGTCATGTATGATCGTAATTTAGTTTTATTTTAAATTGCTGTGAAATAGATATTATTGAATATATTTCCTCTCTTCTATTAATTATTTATAAATCTTTATACATTCAATCCTATTAAAAAACCACAAATAAATAGCATTTTATTAATAAATATTTTTACTTTTTAAAAATACTATCCTAATAAGTTATCTAATAAAGTTATTCGGTTTTTAATACTTTTTCAAAAAATAATGAGTAAACTTATATCTATAATATACTTAAGTACTAATAAGTCAGAAACCAATCAATAATATAAAATATATTATTATAACAATAATTTTTAATTAAGATGGAAACAAATACTGCAAATGATTATTTACGTAAAAAGAATTGTATTTACATAATTATATAAAAAGTGACTACTCCCGAATTGAAAATATCATTTTATTAATAGAATGAATGAAATATAGCAAAGAATGTTTTGAAACGCGTTAAGAAAGATCAAAAATTAAATTCTAATCAATACATCTTATTATATCTTTAACTTATCTTGTTATCTAATTATAAAAAAAATTTACTAAATGTTTCTTAGTAAATGTCATTTAACAATTACCAGTTAAAAAATAAAAATTATTGAAAGATTATTATTTATGCTTTGAATTGTAATTGTCGCAAGTAGAATCTCTTAACTGAAAAAAATTTGTTTACTAAACTAGAGAATGTGCATTAATTAAAATGTTATTACTGATAAATACATCACACGGTAGCTTATCGGAAACACATCATATGATAATACATCACATGATATGTATATAGGGGCCAGTGTTACGCATGACACTGCGCTACTTTTAGTCGGTATCGATATATTGTAGAGAACAGTGTACATTATAGTAATGATACTAGAACCGTACTAGCCACTACGAGTAACAAGATTTCAACAGTATTTTAAATACGGAAATATAAAAAAAAATAAGTAACGGTAACGTACTAATATAGAGAATTTTTTAATTTAGTTATGTTTACCAACACTCAAACACACACACACACACACACACACACACATTATATTCTTAGAAAAATGAATTAAATTGTCGTTAGAGAACATGATTGTACAAAAATATAGCAATAAATTTTACAACTCCTAAAATAAAAGTTGATTTATATTAAAACTAAGAATAAATTTTCGTATCTATTCGCTAAATAGCTCAACATGAATATCCAAGACACTTTAACTTTAGTATCATAAAAAAAAATTACAATAAAAGGAAGAATCGAAAACATAAAAAGAAAAACATAAAAAGTACCTGTTACGTATTGTTATATTTGTATAAATAATTGAAATAAAATTAGTTATATAATATACATTATATAACATACTTAAAATATAATACAAAAATATTATAACTTTTATACATTATACATACATTAATGTTTTATGCATCTCTAATATTAATAAAATCGAAGACTTTAATCGTTGTAAATATGCGCAGTTTATCGATACATGATTACTAATCGTTTTGCGATATAATATAATTTTTGAACGTGAACTATGCAAAGAGTAATTCTAAAAAAACAATTTGTTTCTTACATAACGTGAATGGACATTACAAAAAACATGTAACTGTCTGTTGAATAAGATGATATTGAGTCATGAATAAATTGATTTCAATTATGCAGTCTTTGACTGAGTACATAAACTGTTATCACAGATGGTAGTTTGGTCAGTTGAAATAAATACAGCATACACACAGTAACTTAATCACAACATTTTCATAAATGGCAAAGTTCATTTCGTTCAATCAAAAAAAACTAATAAGTTTGTATTATTTATAGATTAACCAATGACTCTAACAAAGCTGGAAATGATACGCGCGACGATTCTAATCGTTATTTTTACTGCAGTCAAGGGTATGTGCAATACTAATGTCGTAAATATCGCTTGACAACACTTTATTTTTAAGTAGTTTTTAGAATTTTTACGATCGATGAAAGTATTTCCAAGAAGATAAACGTTACATTTATATTAATTAATATTAAACTTTTTTAAATAAATAAAATTATACATTTTTTTAGTTTAATATAGTGAATAATATTATAATTTTCATTATTTATTATCTTTATAAATTTTAACAAATATATTATATTAATTACAATTTTGCTAATTATTTGCTTAAAAATTTATATAAGACACTTTCATAAAAGATGGAGAAAGAAGGTATATTTATAAAAAATTTTTTATAAACATTTTTAAAAAACTTTTGCATCTAAAATTATTTTATCTATTAATTCTAAATTAATTACACTTATTATAATACATTTACATAAACATTATAGGCCTATCTCTGTTACTTTGCCCCTCTGTTACTTTAACTTCTTAATTTTAAAAGTAATATAAGTCTAGTTTTGCAACATCATGAATTTCGATGTAAAAATGTAAATTGTGGTAATATATCGTTTTCAGTATGATTTCGAAACTACTACTTATAATATTTTAAAAATAATGGTTTTCTTAAATTTTCAACTTTTGGACACAAATACTACAGGTCGGACATTTACTACAAAATAAACGAACCTAATTTCACGTTTAATGAGCAAATTTTCTTCCTAATATACACAGAAAAATAAGAAGAATGTGTTGTGGTCACTATTTCTCCTAAGGAGTCTTTGATATTTTTAAAAACTTTTGTAATAGCGTTAATTAAAAAAATCTGTATAATAGTTTAAGTTCAGAACATAATTTAATTGACTAGTCTCTTATTGCAGGTGATGATTGTGTATTACGTTCGTTCGGACCGGGTCGTACAGTATGTGTCTGTAACTCGACGTATTGTGATACACCAAGCAACCCGAAATATCAGGAAAACCAGTTTCTTTGGTACATATCCACCCAGAATGGCACAAGAATGGATTATTCCAGCCACAATTTTTCCACTGAAGAGTCTGAAAATTCTCTGGTTCTCACAGTGGACAGCAATAAGAAATATCAAATAATTCAAGGATTTGGTGGAGCGATGACCGATGCCGCCGCTCTCAACATTCGAAGCCTGAGCAATGAAACTCAACGCAACCTGCTCGAGTACGTAATCAGCATTATTAATTAAAAACGTAGCGATGACACAGATTTAAAAAAAAAGATTGAAAGAACAAAATAAATCTACATATGACGTAATAAATTTTAATAGACTTTAATATGCTCTTGCGCTATTGTTTCTGAAAGGAAACAAATAACAATGGCATTCTCATCAGCGTAATTACTTCGTGAATACTACATCACGAATTCATTGCTAAAATAGATTGAAATTTTCCATGTGTCATTTTTGCGTCACTATTCTTGCGTCAGGTAAATTTTATTCTGCTTCTCGATCTTTTCTCAATTTTTAGAAAAAAATTTCTAAAATCAATTTCTTAAATCTCTTCTTTAATTAAAAAATTCTGAAACATTTTGAGAACAATTCAAATATGTAAAAAACTCAATTAGAATATATATTTGCAACCAAATTTTGGTAAATCAAGAAAAATTTTCTAATTAGTTATAAATTATATATTAATTCATAAAAATCATCCGGTGAGGGATTGCGGAATAAATTTTCATGTAAAGCATATTAATTCTGCTCTGAAATAATCTCACTACATCTTTTGCTGATAGAAGAGTGAATGAAAACAAATTAAAGAAATGTCAATTATGATTCCTTAGTGCAAGATAAATATTTCTACGGTGACAGAACTGAATAAAGTGTGTTAACTGTTACTGAAATATGAAACGTAGCAACTCTTTGATTAGAATGGTTTAATAATGTATTGGATTTTATGAAATTGCCACAAATTTGTCTAACTGGATTTAATCCGTTTGGCATGATAGCCCCTCACACATAATTATTTCCAGATCGTATTTCGGCTCTACCGGTATTGGATACACATTTACTCGTATACCTATCGCAGGCACTGATTTCTCGACGAGACCATATACATACGATGACGTACCTGATGATATTACATTAAGTCACTTCAGCCTCGTGGAAGAAGATGACTATAAAATCCAATATCTACATGATATCAAAAACTTGATGCCTAATTCGAGTAATTACAGAATATTTACGACTGCTTGGAGCGCTCCAGCGTGGATGAAATCATCAAAAAATATAAAATGGGGTGAGATATGGAGTAAGATTTCTTGGAATAAGATTTCTTATATTTTGCATTAATTAAAGAAAAATAGCTGCAATTTTGTACAAGAAAATTTTTTATTACACAATTAAAATATTAAATTTTAAAAATTTATAAAAGTTTATCATTTTTATTGAAATATTCGCAAAATTTAAGTTTTACCAACTACAGAATAAAATGGACATCTAAATAAAATTTAGGTCTGGATTAAAATAGATCTGAAATGCATCGTATCAATTTAAGAGTTAAACATGCTATATAACACTTGATAATTCTTACAGGTTTCTTGAAAAGAGAATATTATCAGCTTTACGCTGATTACATCAAAAAGTTCTTTGATGCGTACAAAAAACGTGATATTGATATATGGGGCATGACACCAGGCAACGAACCATTAGATGGATTTCTTCCATTCTTCACTTTCAATGCTATGGGTTGGACACCCAAAGCGGCGGCGACTTGGACTGTAGATTATTTAGCTCCAACTTTGTCTAATGCCAATTATTATCCTGTATATATGGCTCTGGACGATCAACGCTTTGAATTACCATGGTATGTTGACAAGATGTTCCGTAATAAAAACGCTAAGGAACTATTTGACGGTATTGCAGTTCATTGGTACGCAGATAGATTGTTTACTCCAGAGAGATTGATCGAAACGCATAATAAATATCCGGATAAATTTATGTTGATGACTGAAGCGTGCGTTGGTAAATATATTTTAAATTATAGAAATCATAATAAATAAGGAAAAGATATAATAATTGCAATAATGTTTTTTTTTCAAAATCTCAAGAAATTTGTGTAATTTTTATCTCATAGGTAGCAGTCCTTTTGAAGAAAAGGTAGTATTAGGATCATGGGAACGAGGAGAACGTTATTTTTTAGATATAATCCAGGTTTGTGTAATGTGATATTAATTAGTTTATAATCCTTATTATATTAGTAACATATTCTTAATTTTATCTAATTTATTTTATCTAATATAAAGAAAATATTTTTAATTATAAACTAAAGATCTAATTACATTTTAATTCTAAATTATATGACAAAAATTTTGCAGCCATCGGAGTTTAATTAAAAGAATAGATATTATTCAATTAATCCATTTTGCGCGGTATTAGATATTTTTATTTCGACATAAGATTGTTTTATTATTTTATAAAAATACAAATGTAAATTATGTGTAATATATAGTAAAGTACTTTGAATTGTATTGTAAAATTTATTGATATATTTCTAGAACTTGTCGCATTGGATGTCTGGATGGATAGATTGGAATATGGCACTGAATGAGCATGGTGCGCCAAATTGGGCTGAAAATTTTGTGGATTCACCGATTATCGTAATGCCACAAAACGACGAGTTCTACAAACAACCTATGTTTTACGCAATTGCACATTTTAGCACATTTGTACCACGCAACTCTTATAGAATTGACTTAAAAATTGAAAATGAAGAAATCCTTGAGGAAAATCTTCGAGACGTTGAAGCCATAGCTTTTCTAACGCCCGAACAAAAGATCGTTATTGCTATTATTAACAAGTTAGTAAAAATGTATTATACTATTAATATCCGTTTCTTATATGTGATAAAAAACTTTAGAAAACTGTAGCAATCCTGTTCTAACAAAAAATTAAAATTAGTTTCCTTTTTTTAAATTATTTTATTCATAAAATTTTTTGTTGATAATTTGTATTAAATAATATAAGTTATAAATTATAATTATAAGTTATAAGTTATAAATTTATATTAAATAATTTAAAATCTTCTGTTACAGAGCTAATTCTTCTGTGCCTATAACAATAAAAAACAAAAGTAAAACCAAAACAATGAATTTACAATTACTACCAAGATCTTTCAATACATTATTGTATTCGGAAAAATGATACAGAAACTTGGCTAAAAAATATACATTTATAAAGTTCTTTTCGCTTCTTTGTCGCTTGTAGAAAAAATTAGAAGAAATAGGAACATCTATATTGTCCTAGGCTATATTGTCCTTGTATAAACTTTTTACAAAAAAATAAAAATGGATTATTATGTTATACGGAATTATAAATGTTATTAAAAACACATAATTGTCTTTTATAATCATTATTATATTTTTACATTCAATATAATTATATGTATGATCTAATTATGGATAATACGTCTTTGCCCAGCGTCCTACTTTTCTCTTTTTGGGATTTTCTCGCATAAATCTTGGTATGTACGCTGGCTGATGATCATCTAATCTACGTTTGTACATTTTAATGCCGAATTCCCATGGTTCTCGTTTCTTATCCATTGGACGAGTTTTATGTTGAATAATATAGATTTTTTGCCAATCGTATATTTCTGGTATTCGTCTGAAAGAAATATTA